ATCAATCAATCAATCAATCAATCAATCAATCAATCAATCAATCAATCAATCAATCACTTCAATTGTCCACATCAAACACAAGAAACAACAAAAGAAAAAAAGAAAAAAACAATAGACAAACCCACAGTTTACCAAAAAAGGAATAGGCCGAAGCAAAGCTTATTCGTGCCTACCCTATTTTTTTTTTACCTTACAACCTACCAGGATTTCTTCAAATTCAGATTCAAGTACATAGTACGTATATAGATCTACATAAGAGCGTAAGATTTGATCATTTTACATTTTAAAGCTCTTTTAAAGTTCACCAAGAAAGGACATAACTTAAATGCATCATTCAATTCATTCCACAGTTTCACACCAATAACTGAAACACATCTAGACTTGATCTGACTTTTCTCTTTTGCACATTCAAATATAAACAAACCTCGCAAATTATATTTATTTTCTCTTAACTTAAATAATTTCTGAATACCAGAAGGAAGACTTTTATTCAATGCTTTATACATTATTTCCAGTATTTTTGTATAAACAATATCTTTCAATTTTAATATTTTACTTTGAATAAAGACTCACGCTCTACCTCCAACACCACATTTAAGAAATGGCTAGGGAAACTGACTAGGGATGTCCCGATCCAGCGCTTTCTAACCCAAAGCCTTTATATTTATCAACCAGATGGGGGCTGAATCCCAGAAGGATTCTCAGAGATCCAAATATGTGGATTACATGGGTTTTCATTTACATTTCACACAAGTTTAACCCTTTAAAGCCTCATCCAAGAATAAAACAAAACTGAGAATTACTTTTTTTTGGTTTGAATTCCTTCTTTGGCCTTTTAACAAAATATGTCAAGAGAAATATTAATTTGATATTAATAATTTATTACTATTCGATAAGTGAAGATTATCTTTTGTGTAGTCTTCTGCCCCCTGTTATCAGGTGTATCTGATTGTGTACAATAGGATTTTGAGCAAAGTTTTTACCATTAAATTATGCAAAAGGTGTCAGACGCAAAACATTTCAGAAACCGTATCAAATATGATACATTTGGCATTATAGGGTTAAGATACTTTTGAATCTCTGGACTAGGGATGTCCCGATCCAGATTTTTTCACTTCCGATCCGATGCCGATCCCGGCCTATCAGAGCATGTATTAAAGTTTTTTATCTACTTACTTAGTTGTCAGACTCATGTTGAACAGGGATTTACTCTGATAACAACTTAATGGTTAGGACACAGACCTGTGGGTTAGGAGATGCTAATGCTAATGCTCCTGTGGGATTGGGCTTTAAAAAAAAAAAAAAACTGGATCTGGACGCTGGATCAGAATTTTTTCCTCTCCGATCTGATCCAGATATCTGATCGGGACAAGCCTAAAAATGTTCCTCTTTAAAAGTAAACGCACATCATGTTTCCAAAGGCTGAAAACTGCTAAATTTTGACTGCGTTTCTCTTTCTTTGCACATGTTTTATTCTATTTCAAATCGTTTTAAGATTCGAATGCTGGAAAAGCTGCGTCTCAGTGCCCTGAAGAAAAGCTCCATCCCGGCAGAGAGGGACTCGGAAACCAGAGACGTTCCCAGAACGGCAGAGAGCTTCGTCCCAGCGGTGACCAAAGGAGTCACATTCGCTGTGAGTCTGCGTGGCCTTTCATTCCCATCACAGCTTTTCTAAATGTTTAGGCTCAAACCATTAACATCCCAGCTGTAGCTGTAAGGGGCTGAGATAAAGACCAGGCCTGGGACCAAATTATGACTCCACCATAAACAAAGCACAGTCCTCCTTCCATTTAAGGCTTCAGGACAGTTATATAAAATGTCTGTTTCCAATATAACAGACATTATACGCCCCCACCCTGTTGGGGAAAATGTGAGGAGACGAATATGAACCGTGCTCATGTTTTTTGGCTTTGCCCTGGTTTGGTTAAAATTTGGGATGGCTATTAGATACCCCAAAACATTCACAGTGTTGTATCTGGGAAATGTCTCAGGAAATATTTAGTTTAAATCTGACAGGTACCTGTTTAAAATCATGATTGCTGCTAGTAAAAAAAAAAAAACAAATGACCAAAAAATGGTACAACGAAGACCCCCCCGGACAAAGAGGACCGGCTGTAAATTGTTAAGGACATACATTTCATGGAGGACTTGACCCACAGAATTAGACTAAAGATGGAAATGGACAAAGTGGATTATTTACATTGGAGTGACTAATTGAACATCTGGGACATTGTTTACCATCTTGAGTCATATCCCAATCCGGATAGTATATAGTTTTGTTTACGTTGTGTGTGTTTGTTTGAGTTTTTTCCTCTCCTTTTTTCTTTTTCACACTTTGTAATTGTCAACAAAGTTAGATAAAGTTAAAATAATAATGAATAAATGTGTTTTTCCAGAGTCCACTGGACTCCAGAGGAGGCAGCTGCAGCCCCCCGCTGAGCGGGAACCACAAAGAACCCTCAGGTACGGAGGATCCCTAATGTGTGACAGCAGTTTTACAAAGTTTAAGAGCACTTCCACACAGTTTAACCGCCTTTCAGAAGGCTGGGAGAAGCTGGAGGACTGGAGGCATCACAGATGAATGAAGCTCAAAAACCCAGTGGGCCAAAATTTAAAACCTGAACAAAGCCGGGGGGCCAAGAGTGAACAAATGAACCTTTTAATATGGAACAAGCACCTCTTATTACATTATATATAACTTAATAGTAGCGACATGCTAAATCAAATTTCCAATAAAAAAACACATCAATGGCATTCATTTATGAAATAAAATTTTAAAACATTTTTCTATTCGCAGCCTTCTGAATTAAATATCAAAATCAAATGAGCTTGTCCAGAAAGCTCCTGTTTTCTGCCTTTCTTTTGGTCATTTTTGGGAAGTTTAGCACAGTGACAGCTGTAGTGTGTAGCTACTGCCACAGAGAAGTTTCTGGGTCCTGAACAGCAGCAGGGCATTGTGGGAGTTGTAGTATGAGTGGTTAATGGTCTGTACAGTATAATACAGGGGGTCAGCTCTCGTAGTCATTTGGTGTTGTAAATGTAATTTGGGCCAGAGTTTGAGACCCCTGCTCTGAGCCCAGCTGTCAGAAACACCCTTTTTTTATTAGAGGGTTTGTGTTAGATATTCAGATCAAATTTTGAGTCCTCTTGGCTTTTTCTTCATAACTTTTCACCGTTTGTGTGATGATCAGCAGAAAGTAAAAGCAGCCTGAGGAGATCTGGGTCTTCTGGGTCTGGGAGGAGGACGGAGAGGCCGGAACCAGCCAGCAAAACCCAGGAAAAGCCTCCAGACCGCCGCCCCCAGGACGGGTCTCCGGTAAGAGGCTTACATACATATCCAAGTCGTCCATTTTGATTGCATCATCCCCCAACTCTGGACATTTTGATTACGTCACCATCCCAACTCCGCCCATATCCAAGTCGGCCATTTTGATTACATCATCCCCCAACTCCGCCCATATCCAAGTCGGCTATTTTGATTACATCATCCCACAACTCGGCCATTTTGATTACATCACCCCTTGGAAGATCCCATATCATCGACCTGCCAGCAGTTTGGTGCAGTGAAAGTAAAAATATCAAGGGAAAACTTTAGAAAGTTTTTAACACAGCATAAAAACTGCATTCACGTTATTTTTGCTGACGTTTTTTGGTTTTTTGTTTAAAACATCGTTCACGTGACAGTGGCCATTACAATCATTCCCCAAATACAAAAATGTTGCAATAAACATACGTTATGGTAATTGCTTCATGGCAATATAGACATGAATTTAAAAATAGTGAAATTAATCTTGCAAACACTGAAATAAACTCTATACATAATTGTGTGTTATAATAGTGTGTGTTAACCCTTATATTAGGTTACGGGTCAGTTTGACCCGTTTCAGTGCTTTTAAAGCCTTTAGACTCACAGGTCTCCGTCGTATTTGTTTACAGAAACCGGATCAGCGTCCACTGGGAGCGGAGAGCAGCGACCTGGAGGAGCCGGGACAGGAGGTGCTCACACACCCCGACGGGAAGGTGAGCGGGAAAATCACCGGCTCATCGGCTCACTCCCAACGAGCTTTATTTAACCAGGAAATGCAACTTCTGAGGTTCAGAATCCACTTTTTAAGAATGTCTTGGCCAGGTTCAGCAGAAATAAGCAGCAAAAATACACTAATAGGGTTGTCAAAAGTATTGATACTCAAAAAGTATCGATACAGGAAGCCAAGGATGGATATCCGACTCCGCCCACATCCAAGTCGGCCATTTTGATTAGGTCACCAATAGGAAGGTCCCAGGCAAGAAAATCCTAATTGCTTCATGGCAATATAGACATTAATTTAAAAATAGTGAAATGAATCTTGCAAACACTGAATTAAACTCTATCCATAATATTATGTTAAAATAGTGGATGTTAAATAGGATTGTACAATAAGTCCAAACAAGTTTAACCCAAAAATATTTATTTCTCACAATTATGAAGGGTGGAGGATTAGGGTCAGGGTCAGGGTTAGGGTTAGGGTTAGGATCATTAATGGGACCAACGGCCACAATAACATCAGTAACAGGTCAGTTTGAAATGAAAGACACTAACCTGTCAAAATTCAGTTACATTTTGGTGTCTTTGTTTTTATCATTGTGGTATCGAAAATGGTATCGAATATTCTCCTGAGTATCGGTATCCAGTTGAAAATGTAAGTATCGTGACAACCCTAGACAGTAAAGCTAAATAAAACGTACCCCTAAATAGGGATCATTACCAGCTGGTTAACGTACAACTGATGGAGTTCCAGCCAGAGCTAAATGTGTTCAGTGGTACTGAAACTCTGACGGGTTTTTAACGGGGACGTTTTTTTTGGTTGCAGACGGAGACGGTTCTGGCCAACAGCGACCGCCTCATCACCTTCCCCAACGGGACCAGGAAGGAGGTCTCAGCAGACGGGCTCTCGGCAAAAGTCACATTCTTCAACGGAGACACCAAACAAGTCACAGCCGACCAGCGAGTGGTGAGAACAGCAGGAAAACCCTCCAACAACCAACATTTTCATGCATGTTTGAAAAAATTAAATATGTATTTTAAGTACCGGTAATCTCTAAAATAAGTAAACATTTAATAAAATAATTGTTTTAAATTTTAGAAGACAGTGACAATGAACATTTTCATGCTTTATTATGTTTTTAAAAATTTCAATATGTATTTTAATTACTGGTAATTACTCAAATAAGTAAACATTTAATAAAATAATTGTTTTAAATTTTAGAAGGCAGTGACGATGAAAATGTTCATACTTTATGTTTTTAAAAATTTTAATATGTATTTTAATTACCGGTAATCTCTAAAATAAGTCAACATAAATAATTGTTTTAAATTTTAGAAAACAGTGACAATGAAAATGTTCATACTTTGTTTTTAAAAATTTAAATATGTATTTTAATTACCGGTAATCTCTAAACTAAGTAAACATTAAATTAAATAATTGTTTTAAATTTTTAGAAGGCAGTGACAATGAACATTTTCATGCTTTATGTTTTATCAAATTTATATATGTATTTTAATTACCGGTAATCTATAAAATAAGAAAACATTTAATAAAATAATTGTTTTAAACTTTAGAAGGCAGATTAATGCTGAATGTAACCCAGCAGAGTAGCACAGAGAAGGATATTTTCTGTGTGATGGAAGCTGAATCTGGCTTCAGATATCCGAAAAAACCCTGAACTTTCCCTTTAGGCAGAAATCTGAGGGAGTTTTCTTCCTCCTGGAGTTGCAGATGTCAGATGTAGAGATTTGTTTTTAAATTATGCTAATTCGGCTGGTATGAACAGGCATTTTCTGTAATCCCAGTAAAGCCATTTAATTTTGGGATGGAAGGACAAGTCTAATTAGAATGTAGTTTGTTTTCCATTTATGATCCATGATCTGAAGACGCCGTCTAACCTGACCTCTGCTCCCTGTGCTCAGATTTATTACTACGCCCAGGCCCAGACCACCCACATCACCTACCCCGACGCCATGGAGGTCCTGCACTTCCCCAACGGCCAGACAGGTGAGAGAGTCCCTCCGTTTGCACCTGTCCAGACTTTGAGTTTTGTTCCAGTTAGGGATGTCCCGATCCAGATTTTTTCACTTCTAATCCCAGCCTATCAGAGCATGTGTTAAAGTTTAAAGTTATTTATCTACTTACTTAGTTGTCAGACTCATGCTGAACAGGGATTTACTCTGATAACAACTTAATGGTTAGGACACAGACCTGTGGGTTACAGATGCTAATGCTAATGCTCGGTTGGGATTGGACTTAAAAAAAAAAAAATGTTTCTGGATTTGCATTTTCTCCTGTCGGCCAATACGCATTTTTTTGCAAATATCGGCGGCTGATCCAATCCAGATATCGGTTTGGGACAAGCCTAGTTCCAGTTACCACAAAAAGCCAAAAAAACATGAGTTTTATTCCACTTTCCTCCAGAAAAATCCCGTTTGAGCAGAGGCCATTTTCAAAATAAATCCGGTTCAGATTGTTTTAAAAACCTCTCACGTTCTTCGTCCCGTTTCTCCCCCAGAAAAACATTTCCCAGACGGGCGAAAGGAGATAACTTTCCCCGACCAGACGGTGAAGAACCTGTTCCCCGACGGCCGGGAGGAGAGCGTGCTGACCGACGGCACCATCATACAGGTCAACCCGTGAGTATTTAGCATCCCACAGCCCCTCTGGACGTGGGCAGAAGGTCCCACTCTAGGCCGGTCCCGATCCCATATCTGGATCAGATCGGTTGCTGATATTTGCAAAAAAATGCAGATCCAGACTCCAGATCCAGTTTTTCTTTTTAAGTCTGATCCCACAAGAGCATTAGCATCTCCTAACCCACAGGTCTGTGTCCTAACCATTAAGACGGCCATGTTAATTTGAAGCTATACATAAAAATGCCATTTTTTGTGTTTATCCCTGAATAAACAGGTCAGTGTCTCTTTACCAACCATTGTGTGTTATTCAAACTCACCTAATCCAGATGGTTAGTTGTTATAAGAGTAAATCCCTGTTTAACATGAGTCTGACAACTAAGTAAGTAGATAAATAACTTTAACTTTCTCCACCTCAGAAAGAACAAAGCTCTGGTTTTAACAGGAGTCACTAAAAAGGGCTTAACCTTTTAAAGCCTGATCCAAGAAAAATAGGAAGAATATTGTTGTTTTTTTTTAGTCTGAAGTCTTTCTTTGGACCCTCAACAACATATGAAGAAAAAAAAGATGTTGTGTGTCTGCGTTTCCATGGTAACTTCACTTTATGATTTAAAGATGAGTTTAATCATAGTCTGGATGAACGCCTTTGGATCAGGATACGTAGATTATTGTGCTGAGGTGAGTCAGGTTATGGGTTATGAGCAGAAAATTAATGTCTAGGTTTAACCCTTTAAAGCCTAATCCAAGAAAAATAGGAAGAATATTTGATTTATTTTTAGTCTGAAGTCTTTCTTTGGCCCCTCAACAACATATGAAGAAATTATTTTGATCAAATTAGCGTGCAATAAGTCAAAAATATACTTTGGTGTAGTCTTCTACTGGCTGTTATCAGGTATATCTGAATGTGTACAACAGGGGTTTGAGCAAAGCTTTTACCACTGAATGATGCAAAAAGTTTCAGATCCAAAAGACTTCAGAAACCGTATGAATCAGACATGATACGTTTGTTATTACAGGATTAACCGGGTTGTGTTTCTCTTAGGGACGGCTCCAAAGAGATCCACTTCAACACGGGTCAGAGGGAGGTCCACACGGCCGAATACAAGCGGCGGGAGTACCCCGACGGCACGGTGAAAACCGTGTTCTCCGACGGGCGGCAGGAGACCCGATACCCCACCGGCCGCCTGCGGATCAAAGACAAAGATGGCCGCGTCGTCCTCGACAACCGGGGCTAGAAACCGCTCTAGTTTTGTTTTTTTAACCAAAACAGAGCAACACGACTCTTCTGCGCTCTTCTGTTTAAAGTTTGTTTCATTTCTTAAAACATTAAGTATTTATTTCTTTAGCTAACTGTACATTTTTATTTGTAAAATAAATGTATTTTTTAATTTATTTCCACAAAAAGAGAATAATTTGTCGTGAGCCGGAAAAGTGAGACGGCAGACTTTAATGTGTTCCTCCATTCTCTGGAGTCATGAGCCAAACAAGAGCCAACAAAGAAAACACAGCAGCCAAACCTCAAATAAAACTCTGCTCGTCAACAACAAGGAAAATAAAAGAAGATCACAAAGAAATCAGGAAGGTTCCCGAACAGGACGTTGCCGTGGAAACCTGGAGACACGACAGAAAGAAGCTGAGATAAACTGATAGTCGGCAGGTTTGATTCCTGGAGCTTCAGATTCAGAAAAACTAAAAATAAACAGTCCCCATACAGTGGTTTCTTATAACCTATAGAGGGCCAAAAGGTTCTCTGCCCAGAGGGCCCTGGAATTGATTTTGGATGAAAGAGAGAGAAGTTAAGATACGGTAAACATCTGTTCAGTATTTTAATATAAAAGTGTTTGATTTTGAGGCATTAAAAGCCACAAAATGCAACGGCTCCATCAGACCCACAAACACTGGCTGAGTAACAACAATATGAACACCACACAAGGGTTAAGC